TACTTGCATCAAGACAAACAAAGAATGTATTACAAGTTTTTTGAAATTGTTTGTTAACATTTTCGGGACATCTTCTGCCGTCAGGTCTGGCTAGGCGAGACTAGGTCAAAAGTAATCTAAAAGTAACGAAAAAGTAGTCCGAATATATTACCAAAAATGTTTATTGTAACGGATTACACAACTATCATTACTGATTTTCTCACACACACACACTTAAAAGTTCTAAATAAATGCCTCCCTAGTAAGGGTGAAACGGTACATGTATTCGTATTGAACCGAAACGGTACGGGAGAATACACGGTATAAAAATAAATAAAACACGCGTGCAAATTAATTAATGTAATGCGGAACTACTGTTAGATACGCGGGTTCTTTAGGGACACATAATCTGTACCATCGGCTAGCTCTGAACGCGCGAGTTCACTTCAAACGTTGGCTTTATACGCGTGTCCTATTCGCTTTAGACTAGCGTCGAACTAGACGCGATAGACTTAAATTTGACGCTATATTCGTGTTTGGTGTGACCGCAAACAGGCTGCGATGCCAAGATTGCAATGCTGGAGTGTATGTTTGTGTGTGTGTGTGTGAGAGAGAGAGGCGCGCGGGCTCGATCGAACAGTGTTAACATAAAAAAAACATACTCATTTTGTCAGATCATTAAACCTGCAAAGTGTTTACACTCGCAATAAAACACAACATTGTGCTTATGTCACACAATCACAGATACACGCTGTTTTAAAAGCAAAACATATTTATCCAACTCCATTTCAAAACAGTCTGTGGGTCCCATCTTTTGGACATTCGTCATTTTGCATTGGTTTTAATTGGTCACTAATCTTACACATTCTGCATTGATTAAAAAAGAAAATCGAATGTGTTTTTAATGGTAGTATTATTTTATACAGGAAAAAAATAGAAATAAATTATGTTACATTGTTAATTAATAACGTCAATTAATATTAAGGAAAACAAATATATTGATCTGAAATATAGCAAAATAATGTTAAATTAATTCAGGTACAATTCCCAAATATATCGCAAGGTCTTTTTGTCTATTTATTCATTTAATTAATAAAGTAATTATATAAAACTATTGTCAGCGCACTACAAATAAACTGGTTCTATGCCTTTAAAACTTGTTTAAAAAATACAATGCCTTTGCTTCTCCCTCCATTGTAACGAAATCATACCGAACCGAGGTATGAACCGTGATTTCTGTGTACCGTTCCACCCCTACTCCCTAGTTAAACACAGATAGAAGTAACCCATGTCCTGTCCACACCATAGATGAGAAACTGTGGTATGAAGTATTTTGACTGTTCTTGATTCTCTGTAAATGTACAGGCAGCAAATCTGCAGCATATCAATGAGGTTTGTAAGCGGTTGTAAAACATTAACGCTGCAAACTAATTAGAGATGTTTATTTTCTGCTGAATTAAGCTCTGAAATTATTCATCATTAGGAATCCGTTGATCCACGGACATGAACGCATGTCGTCATCCTCCTGGACTCAAGAACTGTGGCTGCCTGCATTCTGATAAAGAACAAATCAACCAGTCTCAACAACAACAAAACATGAAACAGCCTCCTATTTATTCAATTCTACGGGGAAAAATGAGTCATTTACAAATAATACCAATGCACACAGTGCGGGGAAAAGGCATTCGGTAATATCTTGCCCTCGCTTGTGTGCTCCATTACGTGGACATTGTTATTCAAGTCATGGTAAGCTAGAGTCAATCAGCATCTCATAGCAGTCAATTATTCTCTACATGCTAATAAACACGATTGAAACTGAACTGCATGGGTTCTCCAACCGAAACAAGGCATCTGAGTGAAGAAAGAAATCAAAGCTTGGATTTGTCAAACTACTGCTGTTTTAGTGTGCCACTACTTGCGTCGATCACCCTAAAGGCTTTATAGTAATGGATTAAAAACTGCATCTGTGTGCATCTGTGTACCGTGTGTGTGCTTGCTAAAATGAGAGCAGATGAAAGCCGGGGAAGTGAGATTGTCTGATGTCTAGTAATTAAGGAACCTCTGGGCGTCTGATCAATAATTTCAGCGAGTGAAACAGGCTCTCTACGCCGGTCCCTGTGTTCGGCTGCTGCTGTATGCTCAAATTGGCTCCAGGTTGATGAATACAAATAGCAAGCTGATAAGCCTAGAAATAAACCAGCTCTGTCAGAGTCTGTGCACACAGCCAGCCACGTTCCACAGCATTCTTACATTGCCACCAGACTAAATAATTAACTATGAACAATAACGAAATGGTGGGAATGCTCCCCCCCCCCCACTTATAATGGCATCAAGAAACTCTTTCTGCTTTTTTAAATCTGAAGGCTCACACAGTACACTGTAGATGTTGTAGTAAATCTTTAAGCAAACAATTCAACAAAATTGATGGTTTTGAAGTTGCATTCATAAATCGAGAAAGGAAGCTATTCAAAAATATTTGGGGACTATGGTGCAACAAGATTTAATACCAGGGGTGTAAAAAAAAAAACACTACAGTAAGATTAGTATTTATTACACTGTCATGGCTTATTCAAATCAGAATACAATTCTTGACCTTCTCTCCGTCTCTCTCTCTCACATTTGAATATGTGGTTTCCCCTAACCCCTAACCCAACCCATCAAAGAAAACTATATGCATTTATTTTTAATTAAAAAAAAAACAAAACAAAAAAAACACACCGTTTAGCATGTTTTTTAAAATTACGAGGACACAGGAAGTGTCCGCATTGTTTACCCATGTCATTATACATATTTGTGTCCTCATAAAGGGGGAGAGGGGGGTGCTTTCCATAGACATAAAGATACTGTATATTCAATTGCCCTTACACTAACCCTACCCCTAAACCTACCAATCACAGAACATGTTTTGTCCTTGTGACCTCGCAAGGACAAGGATTTTGGATATTGCCATCTTTGCGGGGGCAACATTTTGTCCCCATTACAAAGGGTTTACCAGACCACACACACACACACAAAAGTCATTCAGGCATTCATTCACTCGATTTGTTCAAACGGTTTATTCTCTTTTAAACGGCTCTCTTTATGAATGAACCATTGAATCATTGATTCACTCGACAAATTCGCTCAAAACGAGAAGAAACGATGAATAAAACGATGGTATTTACAGTATATTTAACATAGTATATTTATAGTATATTTAGTATATACACAAAATCAAAAAAAAAATTGATAGCTCATAATGCACTGTATAATTTAGTACAGAATAATTGGACTTTTAAATCAAAATCTATACCCCATGAAACATGATTAAGTTGTAAATTATTTCAATATTAAACAAATAAGATATAGCAATCAATTCACAAATTGTTCATTTGTATATTTGATATATATTAGGGCTGTCAGTTAAATGCGTTACAAACAGCGTTAACACAAAACCATTTTAACGGCGTCAAATTTTTTAATCGCACGATTAACAGTCTTTTTTTGGCCTAGCAAACTTTGCCGTTTTTTTTTTATATGCTTTTGTAGGACGCGGCATGCGTGTCGCTGCACTATAAAACCCATTAATTTCAATGGCTTGCGCCGCACAAGGAGGACGTTTTGTTGCTTCGTCGACCAAAGCGCAAGTGGATCTAGCTAGACCGGAAACAAAACAACAGGCACGCCGCACACACTTGTTTGGGCTTGCAAGCCAGCCAAATACTTGGTTAACTTTACGTTTTGAGTGGATGATGAGCGCGAGACGCCGAAATGGATGCCAATTAGATTCTGAATGGAAACTTTACTTTACTAAAAAGCTGCCAAATGGTTCAATTGACAAGACCAAAGTGATCTGTGTGTTTTGTCGTTGTGAACTGAGCTAACATCATCGCGATCGCCGCACGTCCAGTCTGAAATACCACTTGATGATGGTCAAGCACACACACACACACACACACACAGCTGATGCGAATTCTCCGCCCTCTCGTCAATATCAGGACCTCGTCAGTATTTCTTTCACCCTTTTATTGATGGACAGTGTTACATTGTGTGAGAGATTATTTGCTCCAAGTGAGAATGTTAGTGTGAAATTGAACACAGTATATGCCAATGTTGTTTGCAGTAAAAAAAAAAAAAAAAACATTCGCACAAAGCAAGCCAATCCACTTTTCCATGTTGATAAGAGCATTAAAATGAGAAAAAATAATGTGAGAAAAAGAAATCAAGAGACATTTAGAATAGATAAAAATCTATGATTAATCGCGAGTTAAAGGGTAACTAAACCCCTGGTCAGAGCCTGACTCCACCCACTGGCAATATTTGAAAAATGCTGGAAAAGTGGGCAGAGCCCAGCGGAGGGGGGCGTGCACCTGAGACGCATCTCTTTGTATGAAACTTGCCTACGTCACCAACAACCGCTGTGTCACGTACCACCGCAAACATCCAATAGGAAAATTCAACTGCAGTAGCCACCGTTCAACCTGAAGAGGGCAGCACTAAGACGTTTTTACACCATATATTGTAGAAATAGAACACTTTATAAACAAATGCCAAAAAAGTTACTCGAATCAATGACTGGTATTAATAAAGATCCATTCATACAGATCATTAACTAAAAAAAGTTGGTTAAGTGTTTAGTTACTCTTTAACTACGGCATTAATGCGATTAATTGCGATTAAATATTTTAATCGTTTGACAGCACTAATATATATACTTCAGACAGACTGGTTTGAGTATTGGTTTTGAGTTAAATTGGCTGTGAAAAAAACTAAACGGCCTCTCAACCACAGACACATTGTAGCAGGTGGTAACATGCTGCATCATGAACCAGCTTGGGTTTAGGCAAAGGCCAAAATACAAAGAGGTAAGAGCGCTCTGCCAAACAGAGCAAAGAGACCTTTGTAGCTGCACCTGCTGTTTGCAAACTTTTCTCTCTGCTAAATGCCTTTCATTCAGTGACCACTGATCCATACGTTGCAAAACACCTACACACAAACTCGTGAGTCGTGAGTAGTGCATGTTGAGGACTAGATCACCTCACCTGCGTTTAAGTGGCATTCTTTGATCTGGTACTGCAGCTCATTCTCGTTCGGTATGTCCTTCCATGTGGCCAAGAACACCTGACGCTCTGTTGAGGAAGAGTTTACATGTTATCATATGGGATTGGCCAATCAGTGTCTATCTATAGTGAGTTCAATCCTAGCTACATCTCATCAATCCACTCTTTTATTAAGCCTTAACGGTGTGCTGTTTTTAGAGTGAGCATGTGTGCGCAGAGTGCTCGTACCCATTTTGCCGTCCTCCACGAAGAACACGTTGAGAGGGATCAGCGTGCTGAAGTAGAAGACATCAATATTGTTTTTCACGGCCACCTGCAGCGAGGAAGGTTGAGTGGTCAGACTTTTATACACTCCCCGTATAAGGGGACTAAAACGCCTCTGCAGCCTGACTGCATTTTTGATACCACACTTATTTTCCAAATGGAAAAAGCTTTCAGCTGCATTGAAAATGAAAGAATAGGAGAAGGGGAACAAGAGCAGAAGAGAAGGCTAGTCGAAGTCAATGGTCAGACCCCGTTGATGAGTTCTTTCATATTTTACACAAATGTTATTAAACTCTAAAGCGAACCATGGAAATCCAATGAATAAATTATGGCTCAATTGAGCCTTTTTATTTTTAGACAACCAGTGTGTCTATTGATGGCAAGAAAGTTTATTTGTACTCTTGTTTATTAATAAAAGCAAAATAAGCAGACTTTTTTTTTTGTATTTTCTGGATTAATTTAGACTAGAGGAAAATCTTTTATTTTTCATGTTTTGGCCAACAACTGACAAATAGCTAAAATTAAAATGCTAGATTTTGTCCAAATACTGTACATAAAAATAAATACCTAAAAACTAAAATTAATCATTTTAGGCATTTTAAAAAAGATTACATTTAACAGTGTTATTAAATTACTAGCATTTTATAGAGTAAATTTAAAGGAGTAGTACTTTAAAAAAAAAAACTTTTGCTGATAATATACTCACCCCCATGTCATCCAAGATGTCCATGTCTTTCTTTCTTCAGTCAAAAAGAAATTAAGGTTTTTGATGAACACATTCCAGGATTTTCTCCATATAATGGACTTCAATGGGAACCAAATGGTTCAAGGTCCAAATGAGAGTTTCATTGCAGCTTCAAACGGTCTTATACGGAATAAGGGTCTTATCTAGCGAAACGATCGCTCATTTAAAAAATAAACAAAAAAGTTTAAGTTTTATAAGCACAAATGCTCACCTTGCTCTGTTCTGTGATGCGCGTTCGTGGCTCTCCTGTTCAAACTCGTTCATCAAATTGAACAAATCTTTTTTCGAGTCATGACTCGAAGGGTCCTAGATAAGACCCTTATTCATCGTCTGGTGTCGTTTAAAGTCCTTTGAAGCTGTACCGAAACTATCATTTGGACCTTGAACCGTTTGGTTCCCAATGAAGTCCATTATATGGAGAAAATCCTGGAATGTTTCATCAAAAACCTTAATTTCTTTTCGACCGAAGAAAGAAAGACGTGGACATCTTGGATGACATGAGGGTGAGTAAATTATCAGCAATTATTTTTTTTAAATGAACTACTCCTTTAAGTAAGTGTTAGATGATGGCAAATGTAATCTTAACAAAAAAAAAAGGAAATTAGCATGCGCAGTTAAATGTTGAATATTGGCCATTCCCAATAAATGGAAAAAATATCTCTAATATTGGATAATAACCAATATAGTACTACACATAAATTGTTCATGTACACATAATATTCAATAGTCAAAAAAGAGAAACATATACATGGATGAATTATAAGATCTATAAAATGCATTTACAAAATAGATGAATTTTCATTTCATGCCATATTTAAAGTGGACCTATAATGCCTTTTTTTCAAAGTCTTGATTTTGTTTTTAGGGTCTACTAGAATAGATTCAGCAAACATGTTATTTTTCAATTTTTTTGACATTGTTGCAGCACTTCTCTTCCCAGTCTGTCAGTAACACTATTTAATTCCAGTCTCTATGAAGCCCCTCCTTCCAAAAAGCACAATGTGCTCTGATTTTTTGGTTGTGATTGGTCGAGCATGTCGAGTGTATTTTTGGAAATGTCATGCCCCTTACTATAACCGTGAGTTTCAATACACTACCCTTTTTTGTATGGGTGACAATTATTTAAATGAGGAGTATCGTTAAATGGTCTTTCCCGGAGGAAAACTCAAGACTACAATCAAGGTGTTTTTGCAAACTGATTTAGAGAATTACTCCTTTTGGAGTGAATTTGAAACTTTACAGCCCTTTTTCATGCTTAAACAGCAACATTAAACACTAAAGAAAGTTGAAAATGTAAAAAAAAAAGAAGGATAATAGGGGTCTGCTTTAAATTTTATGGAAAAGGGTGGTTGGCATTCTCTTCAAAATTTCTCTTTTTGTGTTCCACAGAAGAAACTCGCATAGGTTTGGGTGAGTAAATGAAAACTGTTTAATTAACATGGACATGGTCAGGTCATTCCATCACCGGGCCACTCAAAGGGCATTCAGTTCCTCTTCAGCTCATTAGAAGGTTGAAATCATTAACACAAGCCATAAACACTCAGCAGGCAGCTCTGTTTAATACCAAAGTGCCAGATGCTTGACACAAGCAACACAAAGAAAAGTCACAGAAAGGTATCCTTAAACTGAAGATCCGATGAACCAAAGATATGAGAGAAATAGAGAGGTGGACGAGTGTCAAGGAGATGGAGGTGTGACATCATGGTGTAAATGTTAAGGAAGGAACAGAGTAAGAGCATATCAGCTGGATATCCATCCAAAGATAAGCCAACGCTCTGTAGTATAACTAATGAGGCAGAAACATGTCGATATAAATCATATGAAATGACGATGATTCATAGCGACATTTGTCTCTGATTGATTATCAGCATTAGTAGACTAGATGCCGTGGGCAAGTGCTCATTATCTAGAGTGGTTTAAAGGAATCAAATGTAATGTTTTGCAGCTGCTGTTCACCCGAATGATCTCAGTAACTAATGAAGCACGTGGGGACAACTGACTCAAATAATCAGAGACTTTGTGCCCGCTGTGCAGTCAAAAGCTTGGAGGTTTGGATACACAGTGATGTAATTTAAACATTAACGGCATATTTGTAATGGTTTAGGGCCTATTGGCGTGTGTGGGTGTTTATGGGGGTGTAAAAGTACGTGGCAAAGGGCAGTTGTGCATCGTACCTGTAGGTTGTTTAGTGGGTCCATCTTCATCACAGGTCCGATGGTGTTGAGAGGGAGGGAGATGTCGATGCTTTGGCTGGGCATCAGCGGAGTGTGAATGGGGAGAGGTGTGGTGGGGATCACTCCAAAACTAAAGACAAGAAAACAAACAAAGACACCGTGATCATGGTATCTCATAGCTCTATTTAAAGGAGTAGTTCACTTTTTAAAAAAAATTGCTGATAATTTACTCTCCCCCATGTCATCCAAGATGTCCATGTCATTCTTTCTTCAGTCGAAAAGAAATTAAGGTTTTTGATGAAAACATTGCAGGATTTTTCTCCATATAATGGACTTCAATGGGAACCAAACGGTTCAAGGTCCAAAAGACAGTTTCAGTGCAAACTGTTTAAAGGGCTTTAAATGATTCCAGACAATGAATAAGGGTCTTATCTAGCGAAACGATCGCTTATTTAATAAATAAATAACAAAGTTTTATAAGCTCAAATGCTCGCCTTGCTCTGTTCTGTGATGCGCGATCGTGAACTCTCCTGTTCGAACTCGTTCATCAAAATGAGCGAATCTTTTCCCAAGTCAACTTGTTCATTTCGTTCGTTGAATGAACCAAATGAAACAAAAAAAAGATTAGTTCATTTTGATAAACAAGATAAAACAGGAGAGTCACAAACGCGTGTCACAGAACAGAGCAAGGCGAACATTTGAGCTTATAAAACTTAAACTTTGTTATTTTTTTCAAAATGAGAAATCGTGTCGCTTGATAAGACCCTTTTTCATAGCCTGAAATCATTTAAAGCCCTTTGAACAGTTTACAGTTTGCACTGAAACTGTCTTTTGGACCTTGAACCGTTTGGTTCCCATTGAAGTTCATTATATAGAGAAAAATCCTGGAATGTTTTCATCAAAAACCTTAATTTCTTTTCGACTGAAGAAAGAATGACATGGACATCTTGGATGACATGGGGGAGAGTAAATTATCAGCAATTTTTTTTTAAAAAAGTACTACTCCTTTAATGTATCAGGGGTGTGAATTAATGATTTACAAATACTACTGTAATAACTAGTTCACAATTGTGTACTCTTACTTAAGTACATTTTAAGGGATTTATCTGTCCTTTTACCTCCGTTTGTTTCTAATATATATTTTTTTTATATCAGTGTGATTGGATAGGGAGAGAGTAATGTGTGTCCATGCCTCATGGTTTGCAGTGCAGTGTGTGGGTTCACTACTCGCTGCTCCTAACTTTGATGGGTTAAATGCATTGGACAAATTCCAAGAACGAGTTACCATATTTGGCCTTCACGTCACTCACTTTTCGAGCAATGTGAATTTACGTTTAAATTTTTAACATTCAGTGGACTGGAATTACAATGTAGTTCATGTTAGCTCACCATCTTAGCCTATTTCAGTGCATTAGGTGAGATTCACGGTTTGATAATATTAGTGATTCTCATTTCTTTATCTCAAAGCCTAAAACTGGCACCGTTCTGGAGAGAATTGGCTTATTTTTTAATCTCGCTCTTTTTAAGCCATCTCTGGTGCATGAGACTAAACTCTTATGAATTTCTAAAGGTTTTTGTATTCTTTGCACTGTTCTGAACTTTGATATTTCATGTGATACAATAGCTTGCTCAGTGTTTATTAAGGCTTTACAACTATTTAATTTTTTGCCCAAAGATTATTATTTAAATAGTGAGTGTACAGAAAACTTAAATGTCGTAGTCTTTTCGTGTTGTTTTAATGTATTTTAAAATGTTGGCAGTCAAAATGAAAACTGTTAAACAAAAGATTGAGAATTACAGTATGTCCCCGTTTTTCTACATTTTTAATTTGCACTGTACAGTGTTTATTATAAGTGTAGAATCGGCAGCTCACTACTCACTACAAAAGAGTACTTTTAAAAGAGCTACTCTTTTATTTTTACTCAAGTGGTTTTTTGGGCTTGTAATTTTTACTCTACTCACACTACTTTTTGTGAGGGAAAGTAATGGTAGTTTTACTTAAACACTTAGCAAATGAGAAAAAAAGTTAAGAGTTTCTGGCTATGTGGCTTGTAACTTAAGAATAATAAAAAAAAAAATCATATTTTAAATAAATAACCATGTAAAAGTGATTATATAATCCTAAATAGATCTTTAGAT